GAGAGAGAGAGAGAGAGAGAGAGAGAGAGAGAGAGAGAGAGAGAGAGGAAAGACAGAACACAGGCATGCACACACAACACACAACACTCAACACACACATAGGCACACATACACAGACAAACACAGGCACTTCCGGCTACTTGTGCATACGACTACATATACCACATATTTACTGTTTCAGCACACAGACACACACACAACATACAGAGAACATACTCACACACACACACACACACACTATATAGTTTTAATCGTCATCAAATTACAGAAGATACAGCAGACATAGAGCATAAACAGACAACAGATACACGGACAGAGAGGCATACACAAACACTTCTTCATATTCGCCCATTACACCACATATATACGGCATAAACATACAACACACACACACACACACACACACACACACACACACACACACACACACACACACATACGGTTCGAGGCGGTTGGAGATGCAGAGAATAGAAGAGCAGCTGGAGCTGGGGGGAGGCAGCAGGTGGAGGCGGGTGGAAAAGTTCAACCCTCTCTCTCCCGTGAGCGGCTGAGGAAGGCAGGTGCGCAAATACAAGTGGAGACAATCACAGGCCAATGCTGAGAAGAGCCGAAGAGAGATTGCGAAAGCGTGACAAGGAATGATTATAGGAAGAAACAAATGGTTGGGAACAGGCCTTCCTTGGCATGGAGATCACTCATCCCCCATCCATCATCCTGGAGCTCCTTGCCTCAAATGTCGGCTTCTTCTTTTCTTTACGGTTCTGCTTGTTTCCTGTCCTCAGCTTCTAGTGAACACATCGCGCCATTGTTATATGACTGTATTGAGCTGGAAACATTGCCTGTATACATGAATGACGACGGGGCATTGAGTTCGGGGGAAGGCAGTCATGGGGCCTTGGCCCAGGGGCCATGTCCCACTAGCAGCGTTGAGCTACCTCAACGCCTGAATCTGGACGTGTTTGTGGAGACCTGCAGTTCAGGAAACTCAACACCATTTCTGCACATCTCCGTAAAAGAGTCCAGATTCAGGCGTTGAGGATACTCAACGCTGCTAGTGGGACTTGGCCCCAGAAGTGCAACCTGTTACCCAAGGTGACTTGATAAAAAAAACTGGAAAAAATAATGAAAACGCCAAGAAAATTTCTTTTTTTTCCGTCTATTTGAAAAAAGAGCTACGCTATATATTCTTCTCTCAATTTCACCTGTCACTAGCACTTTCCTAAATGTATCTCAGTGCAATTGCGGCCGGACACAGATGAATCTGACCGCAATCACATCCTGAGCTAAGTAGAAAACGTCCTACCGTAAGTATGCCCTTTACTATTGCGCTCTCTGACCCACTTGAGAAGCACCCGCCCTGTCCCTTAACTCCTTCCTCTCCCCCCCCCCCCAAACACACACACACACAAATATTTGTAACAGTGAGAACAACGAACACCTATTTGGATGATGACTATGAAGCATATCGTCGTCTCCTGGGGGGGGGAATTTTTATATACTTATTTCTATATACACTTTTTGTTTTTCTCTATATATCGTCAAATAGAACTGGCCGGTAAACCGTAGGCAGAGAGGGAGAAGAGGACAACAAACGAGGGGCTGTGACAAACTGTTTCGTCGGAGTTTCACCGACTCATCAGGAGGCTGAACCCTCAAAGCTGCCCAGTAAACTGTAGGCAAAGAGGGAGATGAGGACAACAAACGAGGGGATGTAACAAACTGTTTCGACAGAGTTTCACCGACTCATCAGGAGGCTGAACCCTCAACAGTCTGCAGAATCCCCTAACTGATTACACTGTAAGAGATAATCCACCTAAGCCCCGGTTGTGGTTAAGCATCAACGACTGCCCGACAACTGGTACCCTGACGTGGGCACCAACCACTTCCCTCAAGGTACAAGTGACGAAAATCAAAGCAGACTATCACTCACCCACACCAGATGGAAAACTCTACAGACTTCTGCTCTCTCTCTCTCTCTCTCTCTCTCTCTCTCTCTCTCTCTCTCTCTCTCTCTCTCTCTCTC